TGTCAATTAAAAGCTAAGTCGCAGTCAACAGAAACAAGAGGCCCATGGGCCATATCGCTCACCTGAGTAACTTGGGTGATGCAGATATTTACCAGATTCACCCTCTTGCTATACTTATCATGTCCAACAACCCCCTTCCCTTTTTTGAATTTTGAAACGTTAGAATCTACACTACCAATTGCAAAGGATGCTTCCACATTACTTTTAGCTTTCCTGGCCCAGTGGTTCTTGAAGATTTTTAAAGATTTGTTCTATATTTTTCTTTGTAAAACTTGGATTCCCTATTGTGGCCTTGCCCTACCCCCAGGGGCCATGGTTTTAACAATGTAATATCTACACTCTCCAAGGTTGCTCCCACATAAGTTTCAGCTTTCCTGGCCCAATGGTTCTTGACAGGAAGATTTTTAAAGATTTGATCTATATATTTCTATGTAAAACTTGGATTCCCTATTGTGGCCCTACTCTACCCCCGGGGGTCATGATTTTAAGAATTTAATATCTACACTACTAAAGGATGCTTCCGCATATGTTTCGGCTTTCCTGGCCCAGTGGTTCTTGGGAAGAAGATTTTTAAAGATTTGTTCTATTTATTTCTATGTAAAACTTGGATTCCCTATTGTTGCCCCGTCCTACCCCTAGGGGTAATGATTTTAAGAATTTAATATCTATACTTCCCAAGGTTGCTCCCACGTATGTTTCGGCTTTCCTGGCCCAGTGGTTCTTGAGAAGAAGATTTTTAAAGATTTGATCTATATATTTCTATGTAAAACTTGGATTCCCTATTGTGGCCCTACTCTACCTCCGGGGTCATGATTTTAAGAATTTAATATCTACACTACTAAAGGATGCTTCCGCATATGTTTCGGCTTTCCTGGCCCAGTGGTTCTTGGGAAGAAGATTTTTAAAGATTTGTTCTATTTATTTCTATGTAAAACTTGGATTCCCTATTGTTGCCCCGTCCTACCCCTAGGGGTAATGATTTTAAGAATTTAATATCTATACTTCCCAAGGTTGCTCCCACGTATGTTTCGGCTTTCCTGGCCCAGTGGTTCTTGAGAAGAAGATTTTTAAAGATTTGTTCTATTTATTTCTATGTAAAATTTGGAATCCCTATTTTGGCCCCACCCTACCCCCGGGGGTCATGATTTTAACAACGTAATAACTACACTACCCAAGGATGCTCCTACATAAGTTTCAGCTTTCCTGGCCCAGTTATTCTTGAGAAGAAGATTTTTTAGTGGCCCCACCCTATTTTTGTCTTTTCTTCATTATATCCCCTTGTAAGGGGACTTGGCCCTTCATTTTAACAGTTCAAAATTCCTTTTACCCAAGGATGCATGGTTCCAAGTTTGGTTAAAATTGGCCTATTGGTTTCGAATATGTGAAAAGTTTACAGACGGACGGGCGGACAGATGGACGGACGGACGACGGACGAAATGTGATCAGAAAAACTCACTTGAACCTTCGGCTCAGGTGAGCTAAAAACTCATAATTGCAGTGTATGTAACATACCACATTCTGTATCATTGTCATCCTGTCTCTACGCATGGCCTTGACATACTCTATGACATTGACCTTGCCCTTGTCCTTGCCATATCTACACAGAACGTCAAGGGCAATAAATGTCCCTGTTCTTCCAATTCCAGCACTAGAATAAATTACAAATATGCAAATACTGCATTAATTATGCTTTTGGAAAGCATTAAAAGATAAGAGCCTTAGGCCTTAAAAAAATTTTATTTCAATATTTTTTTAAAAAAGAGGATTTATATTATTTTTAAAAATTATCAAAAATACAAACAAAACCCGATCATTTTACATGTAAATGCTTGGAAAGTTAGGTAAATTATATCAAGTAAGTCAGGTTGAACTTGGAAAGAAATCATTTTGATTTTGACATAGGTAAAAAGCCAATATTTGGGTTCTAATTTGCAGTCCAAACACAGGTCCTCGAATTCTTGATTTTCTTGATTCTGCTTTAAAACACATATTGTTCATTCTTATAGAATTAAACATGGCAATTTATACTTGGTAATAGATATTCTCTACCTATATCTTTATTGTGTTTTTTTTTCAATAAGGTATTCATCTCTTTGTGAATCTTTCATTAAGGAAATGATTAATTGGTGAAAACATTGAGATCCTTTCCAAAATGTTGCATTAAATGTTGTGATTACATGTACCTGCAGTGAACAATAATTGGGTGTTGGGTTGATCTGGACTTGTGTCTGAAGTGACGGTGGAAGACGATCAAGTTCAGAGGATTTGGAGTCCCGTGATCTGGCCATCGTGTGTAGTGATACTGGACGATCGTCCTTGACCCAGTAACCTAATTATAGATAAATTAAAGCATAATTTCGATGTGCTGTTAAATGCATATTTTCATTGGCTCAAATTTTCATGGTTTGAGAAATATAGATCATTAGAATTTTATCTGGAAGTTGAAGTAGCGTTTAATTGACTTTATAATTGTATGAACTTTCAAATGTCGAGGAGAACATGAATCCAGGACTCTCTTAATACCTGGAAATCAACAAAAATTACCCCAACCCCAAGTCGTCTGCATGGAGAATTTTTAGAAAGTCTGCTCTAGAGTCACAGAGTAAGGAGCTGATCTTTACGTCACAGGTTCCTGGCTCGAATCAACTGCGGGACGTTTAGATCGGTCTTTTGGATGAGATTGTATAAACCGACGTCCCGTACTTCGGTGTATTTTTAAACACAAAAAAGACCACTCTATATACACAATAGACCTGAGTGCTGTTTATAGGTATAAATTTACAACCCTTCATCGGCAAGATGTGGCGTCTCTTTTCTTAGTGAAAAACTCGCGAGAGGGACATAAAACAACAATTTAACAACCTCACCCCTAAGAAATTAAATGATCACACAGACCTTCTTGTTACACAGTGTCATTCTTCTTTCGACGAAATAAGCGTACTGCTTCTCTTCCACCAAGGTTACTGTAAAGGGATTGACATCCAGCTCTTGTCCTTTGTCTGGCCAGTATTGATGACATTTCACCTAAGTTATATAATTACAACTGAATATCAATCATTATCTTATAGAGAAATAAATATATTTTTCGCTAAAAAAGCTCATCAAATTATTAAAAATTGAAACTGACATTTTAGAAATTATACGTATTCATTAATGTGTTTATGGTGAATGATTCAACGAAATTAATTTGAAAATTAAATAGGATTCAAATATACTAAAAATCCTATAGGGTCTCAGGACTAAGAACCAGATGTGCAATGTTTTCATCATGTTGTCAAAGTCAATATCATTTCTTTTCAAAAATGAAAGATTCTCTGATATATTTCCTTGTAAAAATTTATTCATGCACCTATACAAAATGTCTAAAGTTTTATTAAAGCATACTTGTACAAAACGATTCATACCATTTATCACTAAGAGTATATAAGGTGAACCATATTAATTTATTATTTATCAAACCTTTGGTCCCTCAGTAAGGTTGGTTAACATAACAATATATTCTACATTCTCCTGCCAAATCATTCTCCAGTGGTCAACTAAAGTGTTTTTAAGAGGTCCTATAAGGAAAGGGATATTATCAAGTTTTATTACTAAAATGTAGTGTTAAACTTTCTCAAATTATCTACCATCAGATAGTTTAATCTAAATCACCATACCTTGACATGCAATGAAGTCCCGTTCCCCTTCCATATTCTAAACACGAGAAATGCTTATAGAAGATTGCCACGAGTATACATGTATAAAAGGACATCAAGAAAATATGTATTATCTCAACAATATGTTAATATCAGTTCTGGTAATTACCTCAATGTAGTTCGCATTAATGTAATCGGACGTGAAGCCCTGGCTAGTATCTAAAACAACGCGTGAATGATCATCTGCAAGAAAAAAATAAAAATAAAAAACTTTAGACACAAAGCTCCGACCTTATCAACTGACATGTTTTGATTTCATGACCTGACTTAACCTGACGCCATGAATGTGATGATGTCATAATTACCATACTTATTGCAGTAACAATTCCTTTTTTCGTCAATTTTTTGGTGTAATACTATTAGAAATACTTTTTAGAAATATTAATACATGTATATACTCGTAACTCTTTGGTCTTTTAAAATTTTTTATATCTTATTTTATTGTTAAATATTACGCTGAGTTTTCTTTGAAATAAATCCAAGACTAAAAGATAAAAACCGAATATATCACTAAGAATATAATATTTTCTACACGAGAGGGGGTTAGAGTAAAATTATAACAGGTGATTTGTAAAGCCATTTTGGGAAATTAACATGAGCAGATCTAGACGAATCAATACTGGACGTCTGGGACTTTGACAATTTTCCTTTTATAAAGAGCTTGTTTTACTTTATGCATAAAACGGTCCTGTAGAAATGTATTGACTATGACTTTATGTTTCATTTTAAACATAACATTAAAGTAGAGACTTAGTACTTTTATTTCCTATCATTTTTTCCCCTTTTACTCCAGGTCTTGGAGCTCAGGCTTTATGGAATTGCAATGTACTTGTTAACAGGGATATTTGAGTACTTTCAGAGAAGAAAAACAATATAAGCGCAACCTCTGAAATAAAAAATGAAACATTAATTTTGTTGTAATCCCAGAAACAGTTCTATCATTTACTGGTTGCTTTTTTTTTATATCAGATGTTGCATTTTATATCAAATATAAAAAATAACTTTATGATAGCTTTAAAAACTACGTTTAGTGTAAGTTTTTTTTTCGAAATATGATTAAATTGACGTATTTTGTAATGTCATAATGCATTGACATGCCAAAAAATTACGTCATTTTTTTTAAGGAGATGCAATCACCAAAGGTGTTAATGGTATGCAATGTTAACTAAGTTAAGCAGTTTCAGTTTCTTTTTTAAAAAACACAGGGTTAAAAAAAGCCATATAAGACTTAGTGAACCTTGCTATTTTTTTATGTTTTCACAATTTATTCAAATGATATACGCTTTCTATTTTTAAATTAAAAGCATAAAACGACTCGCTTTTATTTGTATGGTGCTAAAATGCATAAAAGATTACCTGAAGAGTCGCAAATTATTTTTTCTCGCGTTTTGCCGTCTTAAAGCCATTTCGCGATATTATGTTTGTACCATGTATAAAATGAGGAATTTACAGTATAGGAACTTTACACCAAAAATACTGGAAGATTATTTTCAGTTTCATATTTTAAAGTTTTCATTTAATTTAAATTGCACTAAAGTTCTATGATAAAATTTATAATACAATTTACTCTAAACGAACTCAGACGGTAGAGAGCTGGCTTTGTGATCGGGAGGTCGTGAGTTCAAATTTCAGCTGGACGAGACTTTAACGACCGAGGCCCTATATCATTGCTGGCTTTGGCATGATAAATATCCATCTCTGATAAATGACCCTGAGTGCCGAGTAAAAGTTGAAATTGGAAGATTTGTACATATACAGTGTTTATGGTGACGTCTCTATATGAGTTAAAAGTCTTTCATGGGACGTAAAACAACATACAATCATACAACACTTTAGACATTTAAAGTACTAACTCACATGGAAATACGGTTTTGAATCTGTTTTTGGTCATATTTTCTTTTGATTTAGCGATTTCACAGTCAAATCTTTCTCCGTATGGCAGCATCTAAAAAATAAACATTTTGCCATTCAAAAAAGGATGATGGGAATACAATTTTATTTCAAAAACTGACCGTATGAGAAATCCAATCAGCAAAACAATCTCAAATGGAATTTCAAAGTGTTGCGTTCATCAATTAAGTTAAAAAATGGATAATTTAATATTTTCATTGAAGTAAATATTTAATCTTTATCACTGTTCAGGAAAGATCATTATTTAGAATTTACTAAGAAATGTATTTCACAGCAGTAATTTAGACTAAAAAGAAAGAAACTGAACAAAAATGCGATACTCAATTTTTTCCATTCAGAAATAAACTTCTTTAAAATAGCCTACCGCATAAAAAGGCGTGTATTATTTAAATGAAATTTAAAGGGTAACATTGAATTAACTACGGTATTTCACTTCTGTAAATACTCAGTAAAGCAATTAAATTATTCTTTCCCAGTAATTTTGTTTTTTTTTTTAAATTTCAATACGTTTGCAATTTCACTAATAGCTGAATTTGCAAACAACCTTGAACTCTTTAAGGAATCCTTCTTTTTCCTTGGCTTCCCTCTGAGTGATTATCTTTAGTAGATCAGACACAGCGACATCCTTAGCCACAGACAGATCATTATAATACACAGCCTCCTCGGGGTTCTCTATCTGTGGTTCCTCTTCTGGGTCCTCAATTGTAACGGGACCGTCTCCAATGTTGATGCATAATCTGTTTTCTGATTTAAGAAATAAAATGAACTTCGACAATAAAACTATTAAATGAGCTATAAATAAAATGCACCAAGATTATTATACAATAAGTTAATTTTGAAATGCGCAAAATATCAGCAATAATCAAATGAACATTGCTTTAAATTGAGGGGATAATAACCTATAGATTGGGTGCCTTCCTTTCGAAACAGAACTGCATTTGATTTGGAATAAGAATTCTTTCGCCGTCTGTGTCACAGAGAAAAAAAGAACATCTCAATTCGCAATTAGAAAATGAAAAATAATTTTAAAAAATCAAAGTCCTAATGCTACACCAACCATCGAACAGCTTAAATAATTTTCAATTAAAATGGTAAAAGACAAATAAATAATATAATAATGAATTAATGTTATTAATACACTGCATTCTTATTTTTTAAACGCACCTGAGAAAAATGACAATAATGATTATTATGACCAACAGAAATAATCCAGCGCCCAGTCCAGCACCAATGGCTGTAATCGGTAACGATGTCGAGTCACCTACAACGAGGGCTGAAAAAAAAAAGAGATAAGTGTTCTCTGTATACTATATTCATTTCAAAGAAAGAAAATTAACCATACATTACTCAAGTGTTCTAATCCAAATTAAAGCCCCTTTCATTTTTCCACTCATTAAGAACGATTTTTTTTAAATAGTCGCAGTGAATCTTTTTTTTTCTTAAAGATAGCCTTATTGTCTTTTTTTTATTTACAGTGCATTGATAAATTAAATCTTCAGTAAATGAAATTCCATTTATCTTGCTTACAGATAATGAAATTATACATTTGTTATAGTTTCGTTGTTTTGCTTTATATACGCGACGTCAAAATTTCACAATCGTATTTGTCAGTAAATATCACATTCAACAGTAATGACGACAGTAATTCTCAGTATTTATCAGAAACAGCTAAAATTATATGTTTAAAAATGTATACTGGTGTTCTGCTATTGAAACATAATACTTTTGATTAAATTGATTCTGGATATTGTTGATTTTAATTTTGTTTAATGTTTTGTCCCTGTACTTATCGGATTTATAAAGAACATGTTTAACTTACCTGTCATACATTGTTCATCCGTAAATTCGCCTTTGCACCCACCTATACAAGACCCGTTGTTTGAAAAACAGGTTTCGTTTAGACAATTGGAGCTACATTGCTGATCACAATTTTTTCCGTAGTAATCTGGTGTACATGCTATAAAATTTCAACAACAAAAAAAAATTATATCAAATAGGACACACTTGGAAACGAAAAAAAGTTTGATTTGCCATTGAAGAACTGACATAGGTAAAAGTCTTTACCACCACAGTATTTGCCCTGCCATCCTATTTTACAGGAACAACTTCCATCGGATTGATGACAACCGGAATTGCACCCACCACTACAGGTCTTTAGACAGTCAGTGCCAAATTTTCCGTCAATGCAACCGGAAGAGCATAAACCATCGATTTTACTGCATCCATCTTTACATGTTCGGCTGCAAGTTTTATTACAAAACTCTCCATACTTGCCAACAAAACATTCGTCCTCACATTCCCCTGAGTGTCTGTTGCAGGCTGACGGACATAACGTACTGCATGTTTGTTCACACTTTTCCAAATAAAATCCCTTCTCACATCCATAGGTGCAGGATCCAGTAACATTGTTACAGATCTTCCTTTTACAATTTACACTACATTTTTTGGAGCAATCAAGTCCATAATGGTTTAAGTCGCATTCTTTTAAAATACAAAAAATGCAAATTTTAATCAGAAACAATTAACCTTCCTATTAAGAACCATCAATATTGATTTAGAATAAGATTTAAGTTATCAATTTTTACTTTATTTTGTGTACTCTGATTGACTGATTTGTGTTTAACACCGAGTCGACAATATTTCAGCCATATTTCGGCAGGGAATTATGTTAAATGATCAGTTTTGAGAGTTTCTATGGCGGCCCACAGTGAGCTTACTGTTTTCCGAAAACCCAAGAAACGATCTTTTGCGTGCCAAGAGGGTTGTTATCCTTGACAAGGGGCACCGTTTAACGTCCCATTTGACGGACTTAAAAATTTAAAAATATTTAAACAGTTTGAACTAAAACTTTTGTGTTTATCAATCAAATATATTGCACTGTGTACCATTAAATTTTACTGTAAAAAAAGGTTTCATGTAATTTTACCGTAAAAATCAATTTCATGTAAATAATCTAAATTGTATTAACATAAACATTTGTAAACAGTTCACGCATCGTTTGTACATTATTGAAAAGTCTACCTTGAATAGGAGAAAAATCAGTACATTCTAAAAGAATGTGATTTATAGTAAGCAGACAGTCACATGATATACATTCTGGCTGTAATTCTCTATTTAATAAGTATGCATGAGTTATTTTTGAATGACCTCGTAGTGTTGAAATACATGTAATCACTTCGTCCTGACGTCTAAGGCCAAAGAGAGATTATTTGTTATTTACTTTGTTCTCTATAGCATATAGTTTACTTGTATCACAAAACTCCCAATTAACTTGCCAAATACCGTATATACTCGCCTATAAGTCGGTTTTTTGGGAGTAAATATCTGGTCCAAAACTCTGTATCCGACTTATAGGCGAGCTATCAAAACAATGGTATTATATGAGGTCAGTCCTTCTGAAATATAAGCTAATTAAATACAACCGACTTATAGGCGGACCGACTTATAGGCGAGTATATACGGTAGAATTTACCAAAAGTTTCACTTTATATTTAAGATCAATATAAGGAATTTTACTGAATTTGTATATCTAGAATGTATGGTTGATCGATATTCATTTTTTGTATTGATTGTAAGCAAGAAAGCGAGTCCAAAAATATTGTGATATATCGTTGTCATTAGAAGATTTTATATAGTCAAATGCGAGCTGTAGTGCTTTTGCTTCTGTTGTAAAAATTGTTGCTTCATTTGGAAGCCTTAAAGAGAAAACACTGTTTTTATTCACTGCATCTTTACTGTTGTCTTTAGAACCATCTGTATAAATTTCGACTGTAGAATTTTTTTAATGTTTTATTTTGGCTAATTTCGGTTTATAAACAAGAGAATTGATTCTGATTTCTTAAACTCAATTATGTGTACTCTGAAGCAAACATATAAATAAAAAAAATATTTAAACCCTTTAATATTTGAGAATAATGATCTTGTTTACCATCACAGTTTTGACCCTGCCAGCCATTTTTACATTGACAACTTCCGTCATTTTGATGACAACTGGATAAGCAACCCGCGCTACAAGACCTGTGACAGTCAGTGCCAAATTTCCCGACAATACATCCTGAAATGCATCAACCATTCATTTTACCGCATGCTTTTTTCACAAATTTTGTTGCAAGTTTTATTACAAGTATCTCCATATTTTCCAGTTGGGCATTTGCCTTCACAATGCCCAGAATATATGTTGCAGGCAGAGGAACATGATTTACTGCACTTGTTTTACACTGTTCTAAATAAAAACCGTTCTTACACCCATACGTACAAATTCACTGACATTGTCTTTTAAAGTTACATGTAACACTGCATTGTATGGAACAATCAGGTCCGTAATGATTTGAATCGCATTCTTTAAAATACCAACATTCTGATATCATTTGCTAATACTAGTAATATAAAATTTTACTGATAACAGTACGTAGCCATGGGGTTTTGCTCTGGTGTGCATATGGCATAATTTCAACTCTGATTTTCAAATAGACACAAAAACACGGACACAAAGAGAAACCTGGATATATTAGTATATCATAAGGAATGAATTAAATACATGTAGCAACCCATATGATACTGCTATAAACTGGATAGAGGCAGTTGACGCTTTATTGAAAAGCAGTTTATAAAAACGCGTTAACTGCTGCAACCAAGGTTAAAGTATAATAATTTTGGTTGCTATTTAATTCATTCCTTATTATTCAATTCTCAATCATTAGATATACATGTACATAAGAAATAGAAAATCTCTGAAACGCTTTCAAACTGATATTGTACGTAACTCCAGGCGGATTGATAAGTTTTTGACGTAAGTCATTGAGACGTAGGCAAACCAGATTATACAATTTAGATCATTTTTTATCCAATCAAATGACGTGTTACAACCAAAATTGAATTATTCGCAAAGATTTGCTACAACTTTTCTTTTTTCTCCGAAATGGTTTTGCTTCGGATAGCATCATAATTTGATTTTCCCCCCAAAGTAATGTAATTGTGTATTAAAACAAACACTATATACACATTTTATTAAGCATAATATCGATATTTACTTTTTGTGCATAAGCATTTATGTATAGTGTCTGTGTAAAATAGACTTTAAAACGCTTCTAATCTCTGAAAGAAACACTATATGATGGAAAAACTGCTTTTCTTCTTAAATCTTAACTTAGTTGAGTTCTAATGATACTGGATGATACTGAATGTTAAATCTGAAAATTAGCAGAAAGACTTTAGTAACCGGATCAATCTACTCTACTTAGAAAAAAAGAAAAGAAGAAGAAAAAGAAGAGTTCACTCGTAATAATTCAAATTAATAAAAGAGCATAACAACTAAAAAGAACGAAAAAAAAAAATCCACATATTCGTATATAGGGTACCTAAAAGGGATAGTTTAAAGCAAGTTAAGGTGTAAAATTTGATGATGTTTTAAGGCAAATCGTACGATATTGTAAAATGGTCAGTTTTTCTGCAGAAATAACATTTATACCCATTTGAAAGATCTTGCAACATTCGTCCACTTGACCTTTTAACTTTTTTATTTTCAAATGAGTAGGATACTATAGAAACGCCTTTGTATTTTAATCGATATAGCGATTGTAATCTCAATTATAGGTAGAAAAGTATATAATATATGAAAAAAAGTGAAAATGAATAAATGAATATTTTGGACTGTCATGAGCGAAAACCAGCAAGGAGGGTTAAAACCTATGAAAATGACAAAAACATAATTAAATGGATTTCCTATTGTCTGTGATCTGATTTGAATATCTATAAATATCTAGAAAAAATTGTCAGAATTTTAAAGAGTTGCAAAATTACATAAGAACCTTAAGCAAAGCGTTCAAGATATATCATTTCAACTTCCTAAAAATATTTAAAATTAATTATTAAATAATTATAAATATTATAAGTATATCGTACATGTACATACCTTCATTTATCCAGCATTTACTTGAATAAAAGGAAGTATTGCGTGCCAGGATTAAAAAAAATGAAAATAACAAATTAAAAATGCGTAAAACTTACCGTCACATGTGCTGCCTGACCAGTTTTGTTTACATCCATTAGTGCAAGTTCCATTTCGAAAACATTTGGCTTGTGCACAGTTTTGACTGCATTTCATATTACAAAATGAACCATAAAATCCATTGTTGCAACCATTACTACAATATCCAGTTATTTTTATACATTCCCTATTATGGCAGGTGTTGCTACATGTTTGTTTGCACATTACTCCGTAAAATCCCGCTTTACAGGCGCCACAATTTCCACTGTCTTTCTCACAGGTACCAGTGCTACAATTTCCGCAGACTTGATCACAGTACGCGCCATAGTACCCGGAAAGGCACCCTTTACACAAAAGGTATCCCCGAGATTTTTCACATTTAAGTTCCGAACACTTTGATAAACATTCTTTCTGACATTTCCTATCCCAATAGCCGTTGCGGCAAGAATTACAGTCTGCATTTTTTCTATCACACCCCATTTTGCAATTCGATGGACATTGTCCTTGACATTTGTTTTTCCAGTATCCTTGCACACAACCCTTTATACAGTCTCCATTTGTATAGCATTCTTTGTCAACACAGTTTGAGCTACAGCTTTCTAAATAAATATTTAAACAACCAATTTTAGATCTCTCATTATTCTGAAAATTATATGGTTTGGTTTAGATGTATGATTTCTTTAACAACAGTAGTGACATTTTGGAATAGGTCTTTACACACATGTAACTAATTAAAAACCAAGATACTGTGTGCTGCGAGAGTTTGATAATATTCATATTTTTATCTCAAAAGTTCTTTTGACCATTCTTTCCTTTTTTTTTTTACAAAATGAATTAGTTTAATTAGTTCCATTTCTGATCTGATGGTAGGAAAAACTGTTCATTTGAAATTCTAATTGGGGATAAAAAAATAATGCAATTTATTTTTGTATACAACCCATCATTTTTCTTTAACAATGAAAGATAAGGCATAACGAATCCTGAAGCTATGCAAGGGGACAGATGCATCTTGAAAAGTATACTCTGGACAGAAACTTGATTTTATCTATTATGAATGAATATGATAATTAAAATATTGTATATCTTTCACATAAAAAAGAAGCTTCACAAAAAAGTATCAATATTCGTTTTGTTTAATTGATGAGGTAAAGGCGTATTCATTCATTATTTCATAGGATGTACATTACCCACCTCAATACATTTTCTATTGTTTAATTTTTGCTACTTTTATATATTTTATAGATCTCTATAAGTAATAAACAATCGACAATCGACAATGTCATGAATGTTTGGGAAAAACTTTTTTTCGTGGGTAAATAGTCTTATAGTGGTAAAACACCATTTTACTTCGAATCCATTTCATTGGTAAAAATAAAAGATGCAAAATCCACATCTGCACAAAGACCAAGAGCAAAAATACACTAATACAAAAATAAATGTAAACAGAGCATTAAATTTTATTGAAAACTATATATGACAATAAGTCACTGTAAATTTGTAAAAGCTTTTTTTTTAAATACATTTTTCTTTTATATTAAGACGAACATGTATATATGAAATCAGACAAAGAATATTTTAACTAAAGTATTTTGGACAGCAGAGTAAATATTGGGAAAATACAACAGTTTTTCCTGTACTCACCATTACAATATGGTGGTTTCCATCCAGGAACACAGGAACAGGTGCCATAAGTCTGATCACAGACGTGGTTTTTACAGTTTACATTACAGGTCCGATCACAATGGGATCCATAATATCCTGTACTACATCCTCTGATACATCTACCGTCACGTCCATCACAAGAACCATCACGACAGTTCCTGCTACAACGCTGACATGCTGGGCCAAAGTATCCAGGTAGACAACCTTAAATATGTGAGAAAAACTAATTTCATATTGGATCAAAAGATTCATACCGAGATGCATGGTAGGAATTTTGATGCACAACAATAAATCGATTTCTGCATTAATATGAGACTCATTCTAATAAATCATAATCTTAACAGTAGTCGTTCCTTATATGTCTTTCTATCAAAGGGATATGTCTGTATATTTCTCATTTTAAGGTTTCTGTTTTCAACATATTTCAATACGTAACAATTACATAAATGGATTGGGCAGCAGGCATAGCCTATATATGCTCTCTCCACAGGTACAGAGTTAATTAATACACGTATAGTAACAGGTTCATATATCACCAATAAATTATATATAACTAACACAAAATTGATTGGAATTTTGGAGCAAAGTAAAAAAGAAGTTCATATTAAATGAAGAGAAAAAAAACCTGAATACCAGATTATGTGGAAATCAAAGGAAAAATTCGAAAAATGAGAATTACTGCAATTCAAAAACGTACAATGTGTAACTATTTGATTTAGCCAAGAACTTGAATGAATATTTTATTATTTCACTTCATTTATAAAACTTTTTGGTTTGTGATATGTATTTCTGAAAACAATCAAACAAGTTTGATTTCAAGGTGAGGATTTCGAAGCTACCAGAAGAAAAGCTATAAAACACATGTATGCTATATTTTGAATGTATGTAAGAATCGGCAGCAACATTACATATAGCCCATTTGATAGTTCTTGCAAAGTAGTTAAAGGATTTATGTTTATCTTCTTCTTCAGGTACATGTACTGTCTTGAAAATTCTGCTGATTTAAAATCAGATAGAAAGGCATTTTGTATTTTGCATCTTTGTCTTGAAATATTTTTGCTTTGTTTAAATATTGGTTACATTGTAAATACTGGTACCTGTCAAGTACATGTATTTTTTAACTCACCATTGCAATATGGTGGCTTCCATCCACGGACACACGTACAGTTCCCATAAGTCTGATCACAGACGTTGTTTTCACAGTTTTTACTACAGATCTGTTCACAATAGGATCCATAATATCCTGTACTACATCCTCTGATACATCTACCGTCACGTCCATCACAAGAACCATCACGACAGTTCCTGCTACAACGCTGACATGCTGGGCCAAAGTATCCAGGTAGACAACCTTAAATATGTGAGAAAAACTAATTTCATATTGGATCAAAAGATTCATACCGAGATGCATGGTAGGAATTTTGATGCACAACAATAAATCGATTTCTGCATTAATATGAGACTCATTCTAATAAATCATAATCTTAACAGTAGTCGTTCCTTATATGTCTTTCTATCAAGGGGATATGTCTGTATATTTCTCATTTTAAGGTTTCTGTTTTCAACATATTTCAATACGTAACAATTACATAAATGGATTGGGCAGCAGGCATAGCCTATATATGCTCTCTCCACAGGTACAGAGTTAATTAATACACGTATAGTAACAGGTTCATATATCACCAATAAATTATATATAACTAACACAAAATTGATTGGAATTTTGGAGCAAAGTAAAAAAGAAGTTCATATTAAATGAAGAGAAAAAAAACCTGAATACCAGATTATGTGGAAATCAAAGGAAAAATTCGAAAAATGAGAATTACTGCAATTCAAAAACGTACAATGTGTAACTATTTGATTTAGCCAAGAACTTGAATGAATATTTTATTATTTCACTTCATTTATAAAACTTTTTGGTTTGTGATATGTATTTCTGAAAACAATCAAACAAGTTTGATTTCAAGGTGAGGATTTCGAAGCTACCAGAAGAAAAGCTATAAAACACATGTATGCTATTTTTTGAATGTATGTAAGAATCGGCAGCAACATTACATATAGCCCATTTGATAGTTCTTGTAAAGTAGTTAAAGGATTTATGTTTATCTTCTTCTTCAGGTACATGTACTATCTTGAAAATTCTGCTGATTTAAAATCAGATAGAAAGGCATTTTGTATTTTGCATCTTTGTCTTGAAATATTTTTGCTTTGTTTAAATATTGGTTACATTGTAAATACTGATACCTGTCAAGTACATGTATTTTTTAACTCACCATTGCAATATGGTGGCTTCCATCCACGAACACACGTACAGTTCCCATAAGTCTGATCACAGACGTTGTTTTCACAGTTTTTACTACAGATCTGTTCACAAAAGGATCCATAATATCCTGTACTACATCCTCTGATACATCTACCGTCACGTCCATCACAAGAACCATCACGACAGTTCCTGCTACAACGCTGACATGCTGGGCCAAAGTATCCAGGTAGACAACCTTAAATATGTGAGAAAAACTAATTTCATATTGGATCAAAAGATTCATACCGAGATGCATGGTAGGAATTTTGATGCACAACAATAAATCGATTTCTGCATTAATATGAGACTCATTCTAATAAATCATAATCTTAACAGTAGTCGTTCCTTATATGTCTTTCTATCAAGGGGATATGTCTGTATATTTCTCATTTTAAGGTTTCTGTTTTCAACATATTTCAATACGTAACAATTACATAAATGGATTGGGCAGCAGGCATAGCCTATATATGCTCTCTCCACAGGTACAGAGTTAATTAATACACGTATAGTAACAGGTTCATATATCACCAATAAATTATATATAACTAACACAAAATTGATTGGAATTTTGGAGCAAAGTAAAAAAGAAGTTCATATTAAATGAAGAGAAAAAAAACCTGAATACCAGATTATGTGGAAATCAAAGGAAAAATTCGAAAAATGAGAATTACTGCAATTCAAAAACGTACAATGTGTAACTATTTGATTTAGCCAAGAACTTGAATGAATATTTTATTATTTCACTTCATTTATAAAACTTTTTGGTTTGTGATATGTATTTCTGAAAACAATCAAACAAGTTTGATTTCAAGGTGAGGATTTCGAAGCTACCAGAAGAAAAGCTATAAAACACATGTATGCTATATTTTGAATGTATGTAAGAATCGGCAGCAACATTACATATAGCCCATTTGATAGTTCTTGCAAAGTAGTTAAAGGATTTATGTTTATCTTCTTCTTCAGGTACATGTACTATCTTGAAAATTCTGCTGATTTAAAATCAGATAGAAAGGCATTTTGTATTTTGCATCTTTGTCTTGAAATATTTTTGCTTTGTTTAAATATTGGTTACATTGTAAATACTGGTACCTGTCAAGTACATGTATTTTTTAACTCACCATTGCAATATGGTGGCTTCCATCCACGGACACACGTACAGTTCCCATAAGTCTGATCACAGACGTTGTTTTCACAGTTTTTACTACAGATCTGTTCACAATAGGATCCATAATATCCTGTACTACATCCTCTGATACATCTACCGTCACGTCCATCACAAGAACCATCACGACAGTTCCTGCTACAACGCTGACATGCTGGGCCAAAGTATCCAGGTAGACAACCTTAAATATGTGAGAAAAACTAATTTCATATTGGATCAAAAGATTCATACCGAGATGCATGGTAGGAATTTTGATGCACAACAATAAATCGATTTCTGCATTAATATGAGACTCATTCTAATAAATCATAATCTTAACAGTAGTCGTTCCTTATATGTCTTTCTATCAAGGGGATATGTCTGTATATTTCTCATTTTAAGGTTTCTGTTTTCAACATATTTCAATACGTAACAATTACATAAATGGATTGGGCAGCAGGCATAGCCTATATATGCTCTCTCCACAGGTACAGAGTTAATTAATACACGTATAGTAACAGGTTCATATATCACCAATAAATTATATATAACTAACACAAAATTGATTGGAATTTTGGAGCAAAGTAAAAAAGAAGTTCATATTAAATGAAGAGAAAAAAAACCTGAATACCAGATTATGTGGAAATCAAAGGAAAAATTCGAAAAATGAGAATTACTGCAATTCAAAAACGTACAATGTGTAACTATTTGATTTAGCCAAGAACTTGAATGAATATTTTATTATTTCACTTCATTTATAAAACTTTTTGGTTTGTGATATGTATTTCTGAAAACAATCAAACAAGTTTGATTTCAAGGTGAGGATTTCGAAGCTTCCAGAAGAAAAGCTATAAAACACATGTATGCTATATTTTGAATGTATGTAATCTTGAATCGGCAGCAACATTACATATAGCCCATTTGATAGTTCTTGTAAAGTAGTTAAAGGATTTATGTTTATCTTCTTCTTCAGGTACATGTACTATCTTGAAAATTCTGCTGATTTAAAATCAGATAGAAAGGCATTTTGTATTTTGCATCTTTGTCTTGAAATATTTTTGCTTTGTTTAAATATTGGTTACATTGTAAATACTGGTGCCTGTCAAGTACATGTATTTTTTAACTCATCATTGCAATATGGTGGCTTCCATCCACGGACACACGTCAGTTCCCATAAGTCTGATCACAGACGTGGTTTTTACAGTTTACATTACAGGTCCGATCACAATGGGATCCATAATATCCTGTACTACATCCTGTGATACATCTACCGTCACGTCCATCACAAGAACCATCACGACAGTTCCTGCTACAAGCCTGACATGATTGACCGGTACCATAATATTCTGGTAGACATTCTTAAATGTATATGTAAAAAAAGGTAATGTCATATACATGTAATATCTATTTGAAACTAATGTCCTCTTGAGACGAAATTTTCAAATGGGGAATTAAATGCAGTGTAAAATTAGTATTTAGTTTACTGTGAATTAAATAACTTCGCATTACCTCCGTGTAAAGGATACAGTGAGTAAAGCTAATTAAATCGAATTAAATTCTGACGCATGGGTAAATGTACAGGCAAATAAGGCCAGTTTACTATGAAAATAAAGTTTCAAGTCGCTTTGGTTTATTTCTCATAAGCTGTGAAATCAATTTTATTCGCATTAATTTAGTGTACTCGGTTAACAGGATACAATACGCAATGTACAGAGGCATGTTTTGAAGATCTGTTAATTTTATGAAACTTAAAATTTCAGGCGTGCATAAAGTATTTTACAATATAATTATAGGAAAAGAGACATTTATTCTTATACCCTTCATGATATAAAGAGAATTAAAACTGAAAATGATATGTTAAAACTCAAGGTTAACTTTATCATTGTTAATTAATGCTTATTTGGTAAAAAAAAAAGCAAAACTGAACTTTGATAAACAAATAGTTTGTAAAAGGGAATAACTTTGCTCTTATTCTATAAGGAATTGTTGAGCTACATGTACAAAATCATTCTAACAAGCTATTAACGATTCCTTTTCCAGAGCATTTGCTTTGAAATTTCTATTGCAAAACTACCGTTTCATAAAATATTTCTTGGACATTAATTTTTGTAACATTTGGAGCTTTAAAAAAATCTTTTATAATTGTAAAAAATATTTTTTTTTAGATTAGAGAAAAACGCAGTTTCAACTCATTTGTTTAATAAGAACATATTTCTATAAATAGACCGAATACACTGTTCTGTAAGTAGTATATAATCTAATTTTAGTTTTAACACGTCATTTAATTGGGTGAAAGATTTCATCCATTTTGTATAATATAACTTGCCTACTTCAAAATTAATATGGTACGCAAAAAAACGTATTACTCCCCCTGACATTACTTTTATTCTATGCTTTATTTAAAACCTTTTTCCGAGGAAAAAATATTGTCTCATTTTCCACATTGAAATAAAATTATAATAAATGAAGCTTATTTTCAACTTTATGTTTTACGATATAACATAACTTGGGACAATTTACATTTTTTAATAAACCGCTTTGCGGTTAATAAAGCGTAAATGCTCTTTTCATTGCGTCAATTCGATGGCTGTCGTAAGTTTTAAAGGTGAAATTAGGGGGTGGGGTGGGGTAGTACATTCGGACTCACTTTAATTAAACCCTCCTTATTTAAAAAATCGTTTTCTTTGAAGAATTTGGTTCCGCAACAAAACAATGATACAGTTTGTTTGTAACAAATACTCATTTTGAAACCTGTTAAATAGAAGAACTCTTTCAATTTTGAATTAATTTGGGGTCCGCTGACACAGAGCTTGTGGCTTTTATATCGGTTATATTGAGATTAATGATTCCCACGCATGGAGACAAGTAGCGTATTGAAGTCTACACCTAGCACTTGTATTTGTTTTTACACATGTGATTTAATGTCGGTGGACTTGTAAAATTTTGTCTTGCTTAAAAAAACTGATACTTTCTCTTCAAAACATGTTAGAGTGCACATTTTTTCACGAAAAACTACGGCATTCATATCGACATCCCTAAAACATGCAAAATACGAGGTAAATTGGCGTAAAGAGAGAGAAAGAGAGCTAGAGTAGATCCACTGTCAAAGAGTTGAAAATACACGTTTTGAATATGTAGTACTTTTTTCAATGCTTGTGAAATAGGGTTGGTCTATTGATGTGAATCTGACAAATCATTTTTTATCATCGACAATGTCATGAAAGTTGAAGACAAACTTTGTTTGTGTGTAAATGGTCTTATAGAAGTAAAACACCATTTGTTTAACTTCGAATCCCTTTCATTGGTATAAAATAAAAAAAAAAAGCAAAATCCACATCCGCATAAAGACCAAGAGCAAAAATACACTCATACAAAAATAAATGTTAACATGGCATTTCATTTTATTAAAGACTATACAGGAAATAATTTCCTGTAAATAAGTAGAAGTCTTTATTTATTTATTTTTGTCTCTAATATATTCAGACGAACATGTCGATATAAAATCAGACAAAGGATATTTTAAATAAAGTATTTTAACATTAATGAATAAATTAACATTGTTTAGTAATTTGTGTAGCATAGTGAATATTGTTAAAGTTCAACAGTATTTCTTGTACTCACCATTACAATATGGTGGCTTCCATCCAGGGACACATGAACAGTTGCCATTCCTCTGATCACAGACTTTCTTTTCACAGTTTGTACTACAGGGCTGATTACAATGGGACCCATGATATCCAGGAATGCATCCATTGCTACATCTTCCGTCATGCCCATCACAGGAGTCATCGCGACAGTTCTTTCCACAAGGTTTACCTGCTTGACCGTTATTCCCAGGAAGATCTCCTTGAATGTATTTAAAAAATAATGTTATATCTGTTTAATCCTTAGTAAATGCTTCTTCGTTTCAATTAATCTAAGGTCAGGACTTTGCTTATAATTCCTTCTACCCATGATTATTTAACTAAGAAAGTTGTACTTTTGAATTTTAGGGCTAATACTGTAAATTTTTTTTTTGCGAGTACTTTTTATCGCAAATTGGCTCTTAACTCTCAAATTGCGAGAATTATAATTCGCAAATGGACGGTTGATCAACAGTTTTACCTAGATTGTAGCACCAGACTGGATGCAGTAGGTTCAATGAAAAACTCTATGCGTTTTTTTAGGGCTTCCCACAGCAGGGTCCAACGAGAAAATAATTTGTCGACGAATAAAGTAGTAAATTTAGCGGGACATTCAACATAAGAATTAGTCAAGTTTTTTAAATGGGCAATCAGTATATGACAAAGGACCAGTGATAAGTGCATTTATGTGTGTGTGTCAGCTGCTTTAATGTTTAAAATTTCTGTCGACATATGGAATCCCATTGGTGCCTCTCACTGAGAAAAGGACCCCTCAGTTTCTGTAGTATACTCAGGGCCCCTTATTTCCGTAGGGTCAGAATCTGATTGATTGGCAAACTTATTGGTGGAAACAAATACGCCTCATTTTTCTTCCAACCTATAAGTTGATTATCTTTTCAAAAAAAAAATTAGTTTAAGAAAAGATATATGAACGTATTTTTAAAAAAAATCTTTTATGCGATCTGTAACATAGTTCCAAAATTTAAGTAAAACAGATTTACTTACCATAAATTTGAATTTCACATATTTCAAGCATAGGACCTGTGATTCCATATTTATCATCCTCAGGGGCATCATAATCTGTTATAATTCTGAGGTATCTTGCTGTTTCTTCACATGTAATATCCTGCTTACTGGGAGGTGTCGTGGCATTCGTTGTGTTATCTTTGTAACATAGGGTCCACTGTTGTTCATGGGACGTATTGGATACCTCTATTCCATATTGCCTAAATCGGTACGGTTTCCATATGGTTCCTAAAATGTTTGAAATTATGTCAAACATGTATTTTAAATTTTATTCCTTCATTTTTTTTTTAATTTTACTAGTACAATAATGCAATATTTAATTTTTCCAAATAATTTTCACTTTAATCAATTCTTCAATTAAAAGTAAAATATTGATCTAGCAAATACTTATTTGATTTTTTTTCATTGAATATTGCATTGTGTAAAATGTTGTTCAAATTTTTGTATTGTCTTTGTAATGAGGTAGAAAATGTAAAAAAGGCAGACAAAGAGACAGACGGACACAGATTATAATCTGATCAGAAAAGCTTACTTGAACGTTCAATTCTTTTATAGTTAAACCACAACAATTATATACCACTGGGAAAGGGGATGTCAAAGTGGAAAAAGCTAAATTTTCAAGAATAAAAGGGACACCTCACAACTGGAATCAGCGTTTAGTCAATACCGCTATTGGTTTTTTTTCACCTTAATTAAGATATTCATTTTCAACAATTAAAGATTTTTTCCCAATGAAATAAAATTAATTTTATGGGAAAATAAAATAGTTTATGACAACAAGTTTAGATATAAGTATTTAATTTTGTATTTGTCATATTGTTATTCAACTTAAGCATCTAGAGTTTACGCGAAATCTTTTTCCGGAAATGAAACATGACTCAGTACGAGTAAATTTTAGCCGCAGATAACTCTGCATCATATCTCGGAATGCGCGCTTTTAATTGGTCTATGAATTTGTGTCGCCCCCGGGGATTTTCCAGGGGTCTAAATCGTTTGCAGCATTCCTTTTATTGGGCTACGCACTGCAAGGACGATTTAAATGGTCGCATGTTTCCAGAGGAAATCAATATTTTCTTGTATATATTTGTATATATTTGAACAATACCTACCTACAACTTATGTGCATATGTGTTTATTTTTTAGCAAGGGGAGTTCCGTTAAGTGTCATTCAGAATATGGGAAGATGGAAATCAGATGCATTTCTAAAGTACATTCGTATGCATAACTTTTGAAATGCTAAGTAAATTTTTAATTTCCCTGCTACGTGGGTTAGCATTGCCTGTCACCTGTGACCATAAATTGTTTACTGGGCCAGCATTGCCTGACAGCAGCGAATTTGTAGATATTTATGTACTCTTAGTTGGTCAGTATCGATTTGCTTCAGCAATTTTGAACATTTGGAGATCTGTTGAACTTTGTAACCTGTGACAGCTTTGCCTGCCGACATTAAACTGCATAAAATTGTTGGTGTGTGTACCTTTTAAGTAGCATTAAAGATTGCATCTCACTAATTACATTGATATGTTTCAAGGGTTGTCTCCTATTAATCTTCATTTATGCATTTTGAGCTGTAACGTTTAATTGAGATAATGTTTAATTTGTTAAGCAAGGTGTTAGCGCTGATATTATTCTTCATATCAATATGTGTGTATAATTTCTATTTAGCTAGATTATTATTTTAATTTTTTTTTCAAATATATGTTTCTGACCTGTCATATCTGCCAGAGTCCTCGGGTAGGGGATCCCCTCTTTCAGAGGTGATGGGTTGCAACATATTTATCCCCACCTTTGTGAATCTATGTTATTTATTCAATCATATCATATGATGTATTTTTCTAAATGCCTATTATATAATATTCAATATTATGAGATATGTACTTTTGTGAATAAATGACCTTTTCACACAATATGGGTATTGTGTCTAATTTTTGCAAAACAATCTCGGACTCTGGCTGGATATAATTCATTAATACTTGGTTGGCATAAAACTCTTTTCTGTATGAAAGCGGGGTGTTTGGGATTGTGTAGTATTTATTTCGATTTGAAAAAAAGATATCTTAGGAAGAATATTTTTCCTATCCAAATTTTAACCTTGAAATGTGTTGACAATGTGTTGAAATTTGTCCCTTGGCCAATATGTCTAGGCTTACGAAGCCATTTACAAGAATTTGTTTACTAAGTTAGTAAGCATTGGAAATAAGAGCGCTGTTGTCCATTTTTACAAGTTTGAGAAAGGATTTAACCTTTAAATAAAAACAGTCATAATGTGCTACCTCGTTATAAAGTATTTGAAGAAACTACCTGGTAGATAAAAAAAGAAGCTAGTACACTGTTAAATTGAAGCATGATTTATATGCTTATATTAAGACACATTTTTTCTTATTTAAGGAAAGAAGTTTATTTCAAGTTTTGTTTCGCGGTTTAGAAAGCGTAAACTGCCCCAAGTTATGTAATATCGTATAACATATTAAGTTGAAATGAGCTTCATTCCTTAAAATTTAATTTCAGTGTACTAGTACATAGACAATGAGACAATTTTTCCTCCTGAAAAGGCTTCAAATATAGCATATTATTAAAAAGTATAACGTCAAGCGGAGTAATATGTTTTTGACGTAACTCATTGTGACGTAGGTAAGTCATGTTATTCAAAATGAATAAAATGTTTTACCCAATCAAATGACGTGTTACAACCAAAATTAAATTATTTAAGGAATGAAGCTAATTTCAACTTATGTTTTACGATATAACATAACTTGGGGCAGTTTACGCTTTATAAACCGCGAAGCGGTTTATAAAAAAGCGTAAACTGCCCCAAGTTTTGTTTTATCGTATAACATAAGTTGAAATTAGCTTCATTCCTTATAATTTGATTTTAGTATAGACAATAAAACAATTTTTCCTCCAGAATAATGCTTCAAATTGAGCATTATTTTAAAAGTAACGTCAAGCGGAGTAATACGTTTTTGACGTAACTCATTGTGACGTAGGCAATTAAGTTATGTTATCCAAAATATTATATGTTCCTCTGAATGCTTCAGCCAATGAAATAGCTTGATACAAGTGAAATGAAATTATTTCTAATTAACGCCTTTTGGTGATTATTGTCACTTATATTTGACAAACACTAAAATTGAATGAAAGCAAATATTTTACACAAATAGATGTACCTGTTTTTATTTCTTTGTTCAAATGGTACATGTTTATAAATGTGTCAATGGTAGGGTCACCATGTGCAGTCACGAGATCAGATATTGAAAATATAAAATACTAATGGACAAACTTCCGTTGAAACCAAAATTACAGCTAAGATAATTGTAATTCTAGTTATGAAATTATAATTTTTCTATTTCTTATTTTGACTTGATTTTCTGCACGTTTGTCAGAATCAGAAGAAGGGGTAATGTATAAAAATCTGATAAGGATCACAAAATAGATTGTACAATGTTGCTTCAAGGCTATGCAGCTAGCATACCTTAAAGTATTTGTTAGTTACCAAATGGTAGACAAAAAAGCTATGTTACGTTTCAGTTTTCACTTTTTGGCACTGTCAGTTAAGTCTTTTATCCTCACTTTAGAATCCTTTCTATCTTAAGTAAGTGCATTGTATTTTTTAAAAATTTTTTTAGCCTAATTCATTTTTATTCCTACCTGGATAATCGTGCTCGCTTGGAAAAGTTTATTTTCTGGCGTCATGATGAATAAATGCTGAATATCGCACAAATGTTGCATAGACCGACAAATCAGATGAACGTCCCCAAACGAAATTCATTTTTCATTGCTCTTCGTACATGTAACACATCCAAATTTTTTGCAATGTAAATCATATATTTTTGAGCATGTTGGATCTTCTTACTAGAAATATACTTACCTTCATCTCTGTAATAAATAATAATGTTTTTCAGTTGATATTCTTTTTTTAAGTCCACCATAACCCATGCTGGTTCTGTTCTATTAACTTTAGTATGTGAACAGTTATCTTCATTTTGTTGAATATGTCCGTCGATCACTTTTTCTGCTGATAAGCGTTTTCTTATAGAACTTTGTGTGGCTATACATTTAGTTCCTTTACATATGTTACCTGAATTTATTAATAGAATTTTATTGCATCTATTTCACCTTAAATAGCAAATTAAGAAGACAAATCAAAATTGATAAAAATTTCTTGATAAAATCAATACTTGTATTCTAATATGTATATTCTTTTTATTTGAATCAATTTGGAATTTCATTTATTTATGGATCAATGTAGAGAAAATAAATCCTTATATTTACGTCACGTTCAGGTATATTTAACGCAGTATTTTTCTTCATTGATGAATCTCAGCATGATCATAATCAAAATTATAGGAATTATTTAATCATATTATAAATTAAATTTGCTGAGTTTGTTAATACTATTATCACTATCAAATTAATAGTTGCCGCGTGAGACTTGTAGAATTGTGAGGTAAGAAGTTGATCCTTACTTCGCTGGTTCGAATCCCATTGTGTGACGTGAAACCGGGTCCTTCGGATAGGACTATATAAACCGATATACTGTGTTGCCGTAGATTCTGGCATCAAAAAGATTGCTTTATTGTAGGACAAAATTTGAAGCCTTCCACCGACGTCTCCGTATGAGTGAAAAAATCTCGAGGGGGACCTTAAACAATACATAAACAAAGTAACCAAATAAATCCTATTATCACCGTAGTTTTCTTTAACACACCACGCAGTTATTTACATTCCATTTATTTTTCCTTATGAAATTCATTAGATATCCACGACATCCAAATTTCTATAACACACGCGAAACCTTGTCATTGCGCGTTAGAATACACAGTAGGAACTATATGCATTTTCTATAATCTAGGAACACCAAATGTACAATGTGCTAATTCAATTTAATCAAAAACTATCATCCTGTTAAATTGAAGTAAAATTACTACATATGTGCGTTTAAAATTAATTTGTCTCCTCGCAATGTTTGTTTGCGTTATTTTACTTTGCAACGTCATCTGACGTCACAAACGGCTCTTACGTCTATTAACCACGTCAGTTTTGAAAGGTGCTAAATTCACATAAAACATTAAAGAAATCAGTAATTATGAAGCAGGAAAATTAGAGAATGTAAATATAAGCATTAAATTCATATTTTTGGCTGTCTTCGGTCCTATAACATACATGGCCGTGCCGACAAATTTATCATACCGCGCTAACGCGCGGTATTCAATTTGTCGGCACGGCCAGGTGTGTTATAAGACCGAAGACAGTAAAAAATATTAATTCAATTCTTTAATATTCTACTTGCCTATATGATATGACGTCATAGTAAGCTATATGACGTGAAGTTTAGAGATAACAATTTCTTAAAATCGATATCTAAAGATTGATTTGAGGTCCTAAAATGAATCAAAATATGCAGAGGCATAATATAAAACAGAATTTTGTCGTTTCTGGGTTTCTGTATTTATTACAGGAGTAAATACCAAACCCGTGACGTCATAACTGTTGATCATGCAGTAGCAGAGTGAAAAAAAAGTAACGAGAATTCATGTAAACAAACACAAGAAATCGGAATTTAAAAGCATTTAGAATGAATATCATGTGTGATTCATGTGAGAATAAAGCTTATAAATAGGGTATGTTAATATATTTCTACAATTTCTTCGAAATATAAAAGTAGACAGGATGTTTACTTGCCGATCAGCCTTTCCTCTGTCGTTCGTAACAACAAATGATGCAAAAGTTCAGTACTACGCCGCACACTTTAAAACTTTATTTTTGTTTCTATCTAAAGCTCTTATTCTATAGAAGGGTTAGAATAGGTCCTCAGTACTCCTTGCTTGTTGTAAACGGCGATTAAATGGGGCCGTCCTTCGGATGAGACCGTATAAACCGAGGCCCCGTGTCACAGCAGGTGTGGCACGATAAAGATCCCTCCCTGCTCAAAGACCGTAAGTGCCGAGCATAGGCTTAAATTTTCAGCCCTTCACCGACAATGGTACGTCTCCATATCAGTGAAATATTCTGGAGAGGGACGTTGAGCAGTATACAATCAATCTTTATTCTATCGATTTTGGAAAGTGCTGCTGTATCGTATGGTTTACGTGAATCAATGCAAATTTTTCGATCTTACGAACAAAATGTAAAAATTTTAGGAAGGTTTCCTCAAAAAGTGTGGAATAATTATTTTCTGTGATAGGAGAGTAGGATTCTACCAGCAATTTTTATGGTACAGAGATGTTTTTACATAACTATGACTACAAATTGACATTAATTATCCCCGGGGTAGTGTTGAACTTTTCACTTTTTCATTAAGGCATTTTTTCGTGGTGACGTCGTGGTGTAGTGCCTCTTGTAGTATATGTCTCATTGACGTCTATAGAATGCATAATGATAGCATACGTTTTATCAATGACTTTTTCGATTTATTAGTGTTACATATTATAAAAAAGTATTAATCCGCCGAATTCTGATCTGTGTGCTGCCCTAACAAGCCCGCGCATAGATTACAATATTTCCATCATTTTTGTTTAAATCTGTAAGCTTTAGGAGATAAAAAAGCCTCTCGATTAATGACTGAACTACAATAATAAATGTGGTTATTGGAGCACTCATTGAACAGAGAATACCCGGCCAGGATAAGGCGGTCTGTGATGTCTCAAAAAGTTTGAAATGTAGTACAATCTCCGAACTCCTAATACTGTAAAACAAATTTTATTAGCGACGACTTTATTTCGCGATTTACCAGGGGTAAACTAGTTTGCGACGATCAAATTTCGCGATCAAGCCAATTTTGAATCTGTTAATTATTAGCACATGGAACATAGGTTCACGGTGAGAAATATTCGCGATGACAAGGTTCTCGCGAACTTCGCGAAAATTTCTCGCACGCGAATAAAAGTTTGTTTACAGTATATGACCCCACAATAGAATATTAAGTCACTGCATACTTGAGCTGACATGACGGGGAAATTTTCATAATATTTTTTACATACCTTTTAAATGACATGTATATTTTTGGCGTTATTTTTTAAACAATGTATTGCAATTGTTTTAAGCTCCAGTGATCTGTTATGATGTTGAGCATTTTAAATTTAAATATTGCTATTCCTTTTGTTTCTCTAATATGCACATATTCAATCTTAGGCGAAAAATATAGTATGAAACGCTCCTCTTACATTTCCATAGCGAGAGTTAGAATTTATGAATAGTGTTTATATTAGACGGACACAAATGATTAACAAAGACATATTGAAGATATCCTGTTTGAATCTACAAGAGAAATATGTCCTCTAGCTCAAATTTTCTGGGAGATTAAATGTGCTTTATCCATTTTGTTTAAATCACGATGAAGAATTAATAATACACCTTCTTTTGTTGATAAGTTTATTTTCAAGTTAAATAATTCCTTGTGAAGTAAAAATCAGACCTCCCCAAACACTTTATATGCGCCAGTGATAACAATGATTTGATCTACCTGATAAAACTTTCACATTAATTATATTTTGCAAGTGTGCCGATACGATTTTTGTGCAACATTTGAGAATATCATAAATGCAAGTCACGTGATCATATGACATATGACTTTCCACAAGTTTTATTATAATACGTAATTAAACTGTTAACACAAGTTGCAATTGACTGCCTTTAAACAAAGATTACATACTGAAATTAAACTGTAGCTCTGTAAAATAAAACATTATATTTTCAATGCTTTTCAGCCTTGGGACAGTCTTATCATAACTAGACATCAAATATCAGATAATTCAATTAATTAACATAAACTTACTGTAACAGTGAACATTTCCTGGAAAAAATATAAGCAGAATCCACCAAAAAGCAGCCATTTCAATAAAATTGGAAGTAAAATAAAAATAGAGGTCACTCCATCAGATTAGACTGGAGGAGTATCTAAAAATTTTACTATCAAGTGTTTTAATATAAATACACTGTTCTTAAAATATCTTTTATGTTGTTTCCCTTTAATGTTTATAATCAGACGACAGATATCCAATCTAATTAAAATTAGAAGCCAGATCTGCTCGCACACTCGCTATACTACATGTTACATGTTGGTGTAGCGAGAATGCGAGCAGATCTAACATTTAATTTAATTAGATTGACATACATCATGACTGGATCTTTTTTATAAATAAATATTGATTTCCTTCCATTTTTTTTAAATGTTAACTTTGTGTAAAATAAATGTATGTTTTTATACATAAAAGGATTTATTGTTTGCATTTTATCGGTTTTGACCATCGATGCTCTTGCGATCCAGGGACCCGTTTTACGAAAGAACTTACGACTAAGACCAAAAACTTCAGATGATTGTAGATTTTTGCAAAATTGATAATTCTCTTACCACACACTTTTTAAGAAGTTTGAAACAATTTTCGGTATAAAGTTAATTAAAAAGTTATATGAAGAATTAAATTTGGTCTTAAGTCGTAAGTCCTCTTGTAAAACGGGCCACAGACCCCTAGAAATGTTTTTCTATTAAAAAATGGTTTTAATGAGAAAGGTAATAATCATACTTTATTATTAGTAAGATTATCTAATATATATTTCTGCTGTAAAAATAAATTCTCAGATTGAAGATGGTATTTCAGAATCCGAAGGTTTTCTTATGATATATGAAACTAAAATTTGTCCACTATGTTTGTCAAGAACATAGGTCCAAACTTTTTTTATTAACTCTTGAAAAAAAATCCTTATCCGTAATATTTTATCCGGATCATTAAAAGTGTTTATAATTCTTCTAAATGTCTCCCTATTCATAAGTCACAAGAATTTTGATTAAGCGTAATAGTCTGTCTGCTATTATTTGTTGTGACCACATACATGTATGCTTGTCTTATTCTATGCGTGCGATGTCTATATATAATTTTTTCATACTTTTTAAGGTCTTCCGTCTTCACGGAAGACCTTCTAGTGATTCTACTGTTTCTTCTTCTTCTTATTTTTTTTTTCCCCAAAATTTTGTGCAGGTGATTTCTCGAAAACTATTCAGTGGTTTTCAATGAAACTTTCAGGAATTATGCGTCATTATATGAAATTGTGGCATGACAAGGAAAATTTGGAATACTCACCTTCGGTTCCAAGATATTGACAGTTTTCTGATTTTAAAACGGATTTTTGTTCCCCCTTTTTTTCAAAAATGGCTTAAGATATTAACTGGAGACTTATTAGAGATGATAGATGATCACTTCTAGATTTGCGGAATTACCTTTTTGTGCGTCGTTACTACTTCCGGTTGCTATCGGAAGCGAAATTAAAAAGTCCGTATTTTCTAACTTTTTTGTTTTTCAATATTTTTCATTTATTTTTGGAATGCTAATAGAAACCTTTCTTTTAATGCTCACTGTATCATTTGTTTGAATATTGGTAAATCCAAACTCTAGATATTAACATTTAAAAATCTGAAGCGGGTCCAAAATGGCGGCAGTCTCTGTCATATCCGACATTTCGCAATTCAGGGTTTACGAAGTCAGCCGAGCGTTTGCTTGAATGAAAGTAACATAGGATAAATGAAATATAAAGGAATACTTGGATTCTCACGTCGTTGTTACGCTATAATTCTGTGTCAAACTATGATTTAATCCTTGGTCGTCTGAAACGCCTTCTATAATTGGTTTTGGCTGGTTCTCAAAGTAGAAAAAGGAAAGACTAAATGTGCAAATGAAATACGATACCTAGTATCTTTTGTTTCGGAAAATTAGATTTTAAATCATAGGTATAAGTAACAACAATTTTTAGAATAATAATTGTATTTATGTATTGAATGCGATAACTTAGTTGGAGGTTTCCGGTAGGATTAATTTTGGTAAAATATAAAAAATTCTTAGATCCACGCCTTGGTTGATGGATTACGTGTGATAGAAGGTGTAAGGTCACGTGGTCAGCTCAGCGAGTCATTCAGTTGTATTGTGATAACCCGCCTGATGACCACGCTAAAATTAGAGGCACGTCTATTTTGAAGATTTGTTACAACGTCTGTGATTGTTTAACTTAGCTGAACGTGCCCTGGCTTTCCGTCGAGATGAAATTCCAAAGAATTGAAAGGAACAAAGTATTGTTCGTGTTGTAAAGTGCCATTTACAAGAACGGGTGGATTTTCTGGTTTATTGTTTACTGATGCGGTGGTACATAATATGTGCGCGGGTTATCAAATATATTACCTGATTACTGTATGATACATTCTGTGTATTTTTCTGCCGATATGAACTTTATTTATAAGCAGATATTCATGAGAAGAAAATATTTCATGGAGCTATTTTATTGCGACATCAAACGTGGAACTTTTTCCTATAGTCTGAATTTTGAAAGGATTTCAAAGTAAGCTATTTGTTACTGGTTGAACGAAACAAATAGATACCTTTAATGATTACTATCTCTATATCGATCTCCATGATCAGTGGACACAGAGTTTGATCAACAAAAGTTGTGATAGATAACGAACATCCTGCAAGTATGAGTATCTGCTGCAAGCATCGCTATTTCACAGCTGGGGCCACAGCGGGAGACCCTGAACCTCAACGACTCAACGACCAGCCGGCGTACACCTTTGCTGCTTCACCGCGTGCATAAGAGAGTTTGCCTTCCCATGTAATTGAGGACGAAGGCCAGTATTATGTTTACTTTATAATTGATTTACAATTATACATAACGCGCTTGGGGTTTCCAAATATTTTTTTGTGTATAAGTTATCACTTTCAATTATTCAAAGGCATTGTTTAATACTCAAATCATGTATATACTCTATGGTGTAAGCTTTTAAGTTAGCAACTTTATGCAAAGTTATTTAGTTTTATTGAACTACAATGAGAATTTTAATTACCTATCATAGTTTGCATATTTCATGTTTTTGCATTCAACATGATGTAAAACGGCTAGGCAGCATTGTTAAAACACTGCCCCTTCCTTAACAGGCATCTAATAGGTAATGTCAGCTATCTTTTAAGGTTAGTTGAGAAATGTGTATTGTAATCATGTAAGTAAATGTACCAATATCTCATTTTCACTCTTTGGAGTTTAAGGGTTGTGGACTGAGCTTTATATACATACATGTAGTTCAGATAGTTGGTGTTTCTTGAATTGCTCCTTATTGTTTGATCAGTTTTGGTACAAAGTTTATATGTAACATTTCATGTTTCGTATATTGATAAATATTGAATGGATATTGTACAAAGTCTAGGTGGTCAAGGTATATGTACTTATTTAATTGGTGTAGACAATATTAACATGATTACTCAAGATGTTTATCATTTTAATGGATAATTTATGTACTTATTGGGTTGGTGTTGTTAACGGTTTAAACTGTTGATACAAAGTTGATAGTTACAAATTGAATCGGTGTTACTCAAGTGGTTGATTATTTTAGTACATTGTACAAAGTTAATAATTATGTACTAATGGGATCAGTATTACTCTTCAAGTTTATTCAAGTTTATTGTTTTGGTAAAAAGTTGATAAGCAGCTATTTGATCAGTGTTGCTTAAGTTGTTTATTGTTTTGGTACAAGGTTTAACCTATTGGGTCAAAGCTACCCATAGTGTTTATTGGTTTGGTACACAGTAGATATGTACTTATTAGGTCAGAGTTACCCATGTTGTTTGGTACACAGTAGTTATTTACTTATTGGATCACAGTTATCTTTGTTGTTTATTGTTTGGTACACAGTAGATTTGTACATGTTGGGTCTGTATACCCATATTGTTTTGGTGCACAATATTTGTACCTATGGGTCAGTATACCCATATTGTTTTGGTACACAATATTTGTACCTGTGGGTCGGTATACCCACATTGTTTTGGTACACAGTAGATTGTACCTGTGGGTCTGTATACCCACATTGTTTTGGTACACAATCTTTGTACCTGTGGTCGGTATACCCACATTGTTTTGGTACACAATATTTGTACCTGTGGGTCGGTATACCCACATTGTTTTGGTACACAGTAGATTGTACCTGTGGGTCGGTATACCCACATTGTTTTGGTACACAGTAGATTGTACCTGTGGGTCGGTATACCCACATTGTTTTGGTACACAGTAGATTTGTACCTGTGGGTCAGTATACCCATATTGTTTTATTGTTGGATGCTCATACTGACAATCAATTGGCGTCGTATGAAGCTTTTCGGTTTATTGTTGGGTCAATGTTACCAATATTATAAATTGTTGGGTCGGAGTTACTTATATTGTTTATTGTTTGGGTCGGAGTTACCCATATTGTTTTATTGTTAGATGCTCATACCGACAATCAATTGGCGTCGTATGAAGCTTTGCGGTTTATTGTTAAGTCGATGTTACCCATATTGTTTATTGTTGGGTCGGAGTTACTTATATTGTTTATTGTTTAGGTAGGAGTTACCCATATTGTTTTATTGTTGGATGCTCATACTGACAATCAATTGGCGTCGTATGAAGCTTTTCGGTTTATAGTTGGGTTAGAAGTATCCATACTGCTTATTGTTGGGTCGGAATTACCCATTTTGTTTATTTATTGTTGGGTCGAAGTTAAACATATTGTCTATTGTTGGGTCGGAGTTACCCATACTGTTTATTTATTGTTGGGTCAGAGTTACCCATATTGTTAATTGTTAGATCAGAGTTACCCGTATTGTCTATTGTTGCCTGGGAGTTACCCATATTGTTTATTATTGTTGAGTAAGAGTTTCCTATCTTGTTTATTGATGGGTCAGAGTGTCTATTGTTGGCTGCTCATAATGACAATCAATTGACGTCTTATGAAGCATATCTGTTCATTGTTGGGTCGGAGTTACCTATGTTGTTTGTTGGCTGCCTCTAATTACAATCAATTGGCATCTTATGTT